GAGCAATTTAGGAAGGAGGAGGATGGGAGGGGTGCCAATGGCACCCAGCCTTGCTTTCCAGTCTGCTTCCCCTTCTATCTTTTTCCGCAGTGCTTAAAATGTAAATGAATTTCATTATTAGCAGCTTCATCCTCTAATTGCTATCCAGAGTCATTCATTACCCTGTCAGCTTGTTGGATGGAGGACAACAGCCTGGTCTCCCTTATCCGAGAAGAAAAGCTGAAATTAGCTCTAGCAACCCCCCCACCCAAAAAAAACCCTAGACAAGATTGGGGAATTGGATGGATTTGGGGGGATGCAACTGGGAGACGGGGTGGGGGAGAATAAAGAGACTGGCAGAATTGCTCGATTGATTTAAATGAGGAGAAGCTAGAGAAAAATGAGAGGGAGGGATTAAAATGGAGGATGGAGAGAAAATTTTATTTCTCGGCTTGGTTAGCTGGCTGTCCAACAGCTTCCTTCCTTCCTTCCTGACCTAGCCTGGCTTTGACTAACCTTTGCCTTAAAAGAAAATTAAAAAGCTGATGGTGGTTTTTTTTAAATCGAATCTCCTTGTTTGCGGCATGTTTTATCCTTCTGTTCTCAGCAGAGTTGGGACATGAGTACTTGCATGCAAAATTTAGTATTTAGTGGCATTGTTAGTTCCCAAACTATGGCAAAAGCTGAATCTTCGTGACTTCAGGCAAGATTTGGCCTTGAAGCTGCCCTAGATTATAGCATTAGCAATGGCCCTTAGACCAGTGGTGGCGAACCTATGGCATGCGTGCCAGAGGTGGCATTTGGAGCTCTCTCTGTGAGCACACGCACCGTTGCCCGAGCCCCACCCCCTCCTATGGCCCCCTTCTCACCAGCAGCCCCCCCGGAGGAGATTCACCCCCCGGGTGTGGCCCACGAGAAGCAGCGCAGCCAAGGACATGGTAGCTGGGCAGCGGGGACAAGACTGTCCTTGCGCCCCGCCATGCGCAGATGATGCTGCGGGGCACGGGCGGAGGGCTTGGCCGCCATGGCGCTGCTGGGCTACTTCGGTGATCTGTGGCGGGCTGTGTAGGTGGTAGGTGGCCCAGTGGGCAGGGTGGAGTGGGGATGGGAATTGGGGGTGGTTTTGGGGCACTCGGTCTCTAAAAGGTTCGCCATCACTGCCTTAGACTTATATACCGCTTCACAGCGAGTTACAGCCCTCTCTAAGCGGTTTACAGAGTCAGTTTATTTACCCCCAACAATCTGGGTCTTATGCAGATGAAATTGTACAAAAGGGTAGCATCTCTCTTGCACACGTTCTACACACACACACATACACATACACACACTGGAGACAGACACAGGTTTTCTTTTTTCTTTTTAAGTTTGAAACAGGAGGAATCTTGAGACAAACTGTTACTGTTCCCACCCTTGAAACAGACCAGATTTGGATGTTTCAAACTAGTTTTAACCAATAATTTTCATCACATCACTTAATGTATTTCACAGAACAGCAGTGTTTTCTTTTTATCTTCCTTATAGTTAGGGTTTTTTAAAAAACTTTTTCTATGACCCTTCCTTCCTTCCTTCCTTCCTTCCTTCCTTCCTTCCTTCCTTCCTTCCTTCCTTCCTTCCTTCCTTCTCTCCCTCTCCTCCTTTGCCTTCCTTTTACCCTTTCCTCCCTTCCTGCCTCTCTCTCCCCCTTCCTTCCTTCCTTCCTTTCTTCCTTCCTACTTTCTCTCCCCCTCCTCCTTTACCTTCCTTTTACCCTTTCCTCCCTTCCTGCCTCTCTCTCCCCCTCCTTTGCCTTCCTTTTACCCTTTCCTCCCTTCCTCCCTCTCTCCCCCCTTCCTTCCTTGGGAAGTCAACCCCCCAGAGAAGGAAATATTAAAAGGGCAGAAAAATATATTTCCTCAAAGGATCTTAAAGAGGCAAAAAAGCATGCCCAGTTTTTTTCTTAATAGCCCCAGGTCACCCTCCCCCAAGCAGAAGCCAGCTCTATACATATGCAGATGTAAACCATCCAGGAAGGTTGGAAGCCCTTAAGATTAAGAAGACAAAGACACCTAAAATCTACATACCCCACCCAAAGTCTAAGACAAGACATAATAGGATTAATCCACAGATGCCAAAGGGCACACCCAGACACAGGTCAAAATACATGACACAGGCAATACAAAGCCTCAAAACAGGAACAAGAAGCAACTCCAAACAAAAGGCTCCAGAGAGTATACAAACCCACTCCCTACATGTGCTCAGCCCCTTTTTCTCTTTTCTTCCAGACCCATTTTTCTGTCTTGCTCTTCTCTTCAATAAACTGCAACCTTCTTTCTAAAGCAGTCTCCATGTTGTTTATCCCCGGCTTGGACTGAACCATGATGAAGACTTTTCTTCCAATACTTCCTTCCTTCCTTCCTTCCTTCCTTCCTTCCTTCCTTCCTTCCTTCCTTCCTTCCTTCCTTCCTTCCTTCCTTCTCTCCCTCTCCTTCTCTGCCTTCCTTTTACCCTTTCCTCTCTTCCTGCCTCTAGCTCTTCCTTCCTTCCTTCCTTCCTTCCTTCCTTCCTTCCTTCCTTCCTTCCTTCTCTCCCTCTCCTTCTCCTTCTCTGCCTTCCTTTTACCCTTTCCTCTCTTCCTGCCTCTAGCTCCTCCTTCCTTCCTTCCTTCCTTCCTTCCTTCCTTCCTTCCTTCCCTCCTTCCTTCCTTCCTTCTCTCCCTTCCTTTTACCCTTTCCTCTCTTCCTGCCTCTAGCCCTTCCTTCCTTCCTTCCTTCCTTCCTTCCTTCCTTCCTTCCTTCCTTCCTTCCTTCTCTCCTTCTCCTTCTCCACCTTCCTTTTACTTTTTCCTCCCTTCCTGTCTCTAGCTCCCCCTTCCTTCCTTCCTCCTTCACCTTCCTTTTACCCCTTTCCATTGCAGCCTCCCCCTGGTCACAAGCTCAAAATTCAGACACTTGGCCCCTGGCATGTATTTATGATGGTTGCAGCGTCCTGGGGTCACGTGTGACTAACTTAACCACTGCATTGATTCACTTCACATTTGTGGCAATGAAGGTCATAAAATACAGCAAAACCCATTTAACTGTCTAGTTTAGCCATGGCTATTCTGGTCCCAGTTTATTGAATAAATAATTGAGAAAGTAATGCAGAGTAAGAAAATAAATGCAGAAAGTAAAGTGTGCCACCTAGTGGTCACAGGAACACCTTCACCCCGTGACTCAGAGGTGCTTACACACACACACACACACACACACACACACACATTATATATACACATACTATATACACATACACATATGTAATCCTCAACTTACAACAATTCACTTAATGACCGAAGTTACAACAGCATTGAAAAAAGTGACTTTTGACTGTGTTCCACACTTACAATCATTGCAGCATCCCTGCGGTCACGTGCTCAACATTTGGACGCCTGGCAACTGACTCATATTTATGACGGTCGCAGCGTCCCATGGGTCACGCGATCCCCGTTTGCGACCTTCTGACACGCAAAGCCCACGGGGGAAGCCAGGTGTCCTTCACAGCCCCGTTCCAAAAACTTAACAAGCGCAGGGATTTGCTGAACCCCCCCCCCCCCGTGGCAAGAGAGGTCCCTAAAAAGGGGGCAAAACTCACCCTAACCGATGTCTCGCTTAGCAACAGAAATTTGGGGCTCCGTTGTGACCGTAAGTCGAGGACCTATATACAACCACCTTAAAATTGCAGTAAAATACAAGGTATCACTAAAGGCGGGAAGGAAGGGAACACACCTCCAGTGTGATGTTCCCCCATTAGGCATCCACTGCACTTGGCAGCGCCAGGTCTTCAGCCTCTTGCAGAAAGTCAAGGAGGGGAGAGAATAAAATAGTAATAGTAATAATAATGAAAAGAGATCCAGGCATTTCTCCTGAGTTTTCTAAGACTCCTGGCAGCTACAGTCTGCCCTCCTGGGGCCTCCCCTCGTCCTCAGCGCCATCCCGAGAGCTCGGCCAGCCCCACGGAGAGCTCCTCCTGGCAGAGCAGACGGAATTCTGGATATCCCCAGAAATAAGCCACAAAGGCAACGGAGCAACCTCCGATGTCCTGCCCTCCCATTTGAGTACCAACATTCACACGCGCACCCTTAGCCAAGCACGGGAGAGAGCCAGGATGTGAATCCAGAAGCCAAAGGGAGGCGCAAGGGCCATTTCCCAGAATGCAAACTGAGGCAAGGGATTTAACCTCAAAGGGGGAGGGGATTCCACCATGATGGAGAAATTCCTCAGACAAGAGAATTTACTTAGGAGCTGAGTTCAGGCCTTCCCATTTTTAACCTCCCACACTCTAATAATAATAATAATAATAATAATAATAATAATAATAATAGGAAGGGACCTTAGAGGTCATCTAGTCCAACCCCCTGCTCAGGCAGGAAACCCTATACCATTTGAGATAAGTGGCTGTTCCCTCTTCTTTAAAACTTCCATTGTTGGAGCATTCACCGCTTCTGGAGGCAGGTTGTTCCACTGGTTAATTGTTGTAACTGTCAGAAAGTTTCTCCTTAGTTCTAGATTGCTTCTCTCCTTGGTTAGTTTCCATCCGTTGCTTCTTGTCCTGCCTTCAGGCGCTTTGGGGAATAGCTTGACTCCCTCTTCTTTGGGGCAGCCCCTGAGATACTGGAACACAGTTGTCCTGTCCCCCCTCGTCCTTCTCTTCATTAAACTAGACAGACCCAATTCCAGCAACCGTTCCTTGTATGTTTTAGCCTCCAGTCCCCTGATCATCTTCGTTGCTCTTCTCTGCACTCTTTCCAGAGTCTCAACATCTTCTTTACATCGTGGTGACCCCTTCCCAGTTTTCTATTTGAAGACCACCCTCCACCCACCCCCCAAATCCCCCAGCCTGCTACAGTCCTTTTGATTGGAATTCGGGTAAACAAACCCACAAGCCCCGCCCTTTCCCCGGCAAGCCCCGGCCCTCCGCCCCTCCCGAGCGCGTCAGCACCTCGGACAGCGGCGACAGCTCCGTTCCGCTCCGCCTCGCTCGCCCCGCCGAGAGAGACAGAGAGAGAGAGAGAGAGAGAGAGAGAGAGAGAGAGAGAGAGAGAGAGAGAGAGAGAGCGCAGCGGCGGCGGGAGGGGACGGGCGGAGCGGGCGGACAGGCGAGGGCTGCGGACCGGGATCCCGGTGCGAGAGCGGCGCTCGGGGGGTGAGTCTTTGAAGGCCTGGGGTGCGGGGGGGGGGGAGAGAAGCAGGGAAGAGCCGGCCCTCCTCCGCATCGGGCGCCCTTCGTGCAGAGCGGGAGGCGGCTGGGGAGGATGGGGCGCGAGGAGGATGGCGGAGCCTTGGCTGGCCAGGCCTGCCGGTCTTCGGGCCTTTGGGAAGGGCCCTTTGCAAAGGGGTCTTTCCCCCCCTCTCCCCCCCCCACTACCACCACCGCAGCCTCCTCCCAACAGAAGTGATCCAGTGGCTTAAAGGATAGGCAGATCAGCTCATCTTCCTTGGGAAGCCTGGGATGAATCCCCCCCCCCACCATCTCCTCCCTGACAATTGCAAATATTTGATGGAGGCTCCCTTCCTCCTCCTCCCCCTCCTCCTCCTCCTCCTCCTCCTCTTCCTCCTCCTCCACCACCACCACCATCTCCTCCACCATCTCCTCCACCATCATCTCCTCCTCCTCCTCCTCCTCCTCCTCCTCCTCCTCTCCCCTGCAGTTCTTAGCCCCGATAGGATCCCAGATCATTCATTCATGCATTCAGAAGCGGCAGAGGCTAGCAAGCAGAAGCTTTGGCTAGCGGGGATTAAGGGAAGATCTGTTTTTTCTTCTCCCTTCCTCTTCTTTCTCTGCCATTTTCCTCGCTGGAGGGTGCAAAGGTGCTGAAATCGAAGCGCTAGAGTCTCCCGTCTTGCGAAAGACCCTTCGGGGTTAACTGGGCTCTGCTAGAGAAGACCCAGGAGGATCAATTTTCTCCCAGAAGCCCATGTTTCCCCTAGGCCAGGGGCGGGCAACCTTGGCTCTTTTATGACTTGTGGACTTCAACTCCCAGAATGCCTGAGCCAGCCCTGCTGGGAGTCCACAAGTCATAAAAGAGCCAAGGATCCCCACCTCTGACCTACGGTGCTCACCAACCCGCCCCAGATCTCTGAGTAAAAAGTGTGAACCTAGCCTGTAATATACGGTTGATCTCCACTGCTTGCTGGCCTTTCCAAAGCATCACCTTTTACTCTGAGACAGTCACCTGTTTATCCCCTGCATTTAGTAAGCTCAGCAGGTGTATTTCTGTGATGTGTGCATTTAAATTTGGAGTGCTGGTGAAAGGGGCCTTCTCAAATAAAAGAAGGGGTGTACAACATATATGTTTTTGGTGCTGACATTCTCCTGTTAGATGTTCTCCAGAGAACAAGCAAGCTACCTTCAAAACACTGTGTACAGAACATGGTTGAAAATTCATTGTGGTAGCAGGAGCATGTTGATGGGTTGCTGTCTAAAGTGCCAATGGCTCAGTTCAGACATGGCCCTAAGCTGAATCTTTAATCTGGGTTTGTTAAGTTATGGCTTGTAATAAAGTTTGATCTGAAATAAGCCATAGTTGCTAGGGTTCACTTTAACTCCTAATAGATAAACCACGTTAACTGGGCTCATACATTGCTCTAGGCCAGGGGTAGACAACCTTGGCTCTTTGATGACTTGTGGACTTCAACTCCCAGAATTCCTGAGCTTGGCTGGCTCAGGAATTCTGGGAGTTGAAGCCCACGAGTCATAAAAGAGCCAAGGTTGCCTATCCCTGCTCTAGGCCAGTGCTTCCCAGTCTTGGGCCACTTTAAGATGTGTGGACTTCAACTCCCAGAATTCTACAGGTCCCAGTGTTACCACTAACCAGGCTGATTGTGAGACTGGAGGTTGGTTCATAGGCTCCAACTCAATTGATAACTTTTCCATTGGAGAGACCTGGATCTGGACTCCCTTGGGTCAGTTCATTCAACTCTCTTTGACCATCTCTGGAGACTTCAGGCCTATGTTATTGAACCAACTGGCTCCAGGAGAAGTTAAAAAGAAAAAAAAGGAAAGATTTTGCAATGTAGGAGAGAAGGACTTAGCGCAGTGGTGGCGAACCTATGGCACGCGCGCCAGAGGTGGCACTTGGAGCCCTCTCTGTGGGCACGCCAGCCGTTGCCCCAGCCCTGCCTTCTCCCGCAACCCCCTCACCATCTGCCTGCCTGGAGGAAAGTCTCCTCCAGGTGCAGCCCACATGGAGCAGCGCAGCCAAGCACTTGGCAGCTGGGCAGTAGGGGCAAGACTCCGCCCTCGTGCCCCATCATGTGCAGATAATGCTATGGGGTTCGGGTGGAGGGCGTGGCCACCATGGCGCTGCAAAGCCGCCTGGGCAATCTGTGGTGAGTGGCCCTTTGGGGGGGCGGAACAGAAGGCAGAGCAGGGGTGGGCCGGGGCGGGTTTTGGGCACTCGGTCTCTAAAAGATTCGCCATCACTGACTTAGCGTGTGACTCTCTTGAAATAGCTTACTTCTGATCTGTGCTGACCATCTTACTACCTAATCCACAGCAGGATAAGCAGTCTTGCCAAAGGCCTGGAATAGCTTTACTAAGAGACGTATCTCATTTCTATCGAGTTACAAGCCATGATTCCAGTTGTGTTGTCTTTTGCCCCCAAACCTACGTTTAAAACCAGGACAGAGAATCTACCCTTTCGTAAGAGTTGCATGTGGACAATACAATATGCAAGATAAAATATTAAATTAAAGGTAAAACCATAATAAAACCACCATAATATAGTACTGGAGAACTACCATAGGATAGTTGTTATAATTCAGTGGGTTGCAATAAATATAGCTGATTGCCATCGACCAAATGGCTTTGTCTACCCAAGATTAGTCAGAGTAGAGCTGGAAGAGACCTTGGAGGTCATCTAGTCCAACCCCCTGCTCAAGCAGGAAACGCTATACAATTTGAGATAAGTGGCTGTCCAGTCTCTTCTTAAAAACCTTCAGTGTTGGAGCACCCACAACTTCTGGAGGCAAGCTGTTCCACTGGTTAATTGTCCTCACTGTTAGGAAGTTTCTCCTTAGTTCCAGGTTGCTTCTCTCTTTGATTAGTTTCCATCCATTGTTTCTTGTCCTGCCTTCTGGAGTTTTGGAGAATAATTTGTCCTCCTCTTCTTTGTGGCAGCCCCTCAAATACTGGAACACTGCTATCATGTTACCCCAATCCTTTTTTTTTTTCCAGATTAGCCATACTCAGTTCCTGCAACCGTTCTTCATATGTTTTAATTTCCAGGTCTTTAATCATCTGAGTTGTTCTTCTCTGTACCTTTCCCAAAGTCTCAACCTCTTTTTTGTAATGTGGTGACCAGAACTGGATGTGGTCTTATCCAGCCTTGTTTCTTTCTCTAAGAGGCCCTAAAAATATTCAGGGTTGCAAACAAAACGAATCACTCTAGTACAGTGGTTCTCAACCTATGGGTCGCGACCCCATTTGGGGTCGATCGACCATTTTTCAGGGGTCGCCAAAGAAGGCGATCCGCCATTTTCTCCCCTCAGGGGGCGCTGCCGCGCATGCGTGCCGCACATGGGGGCAGCGGCGCCCATGCGCACGGAGCCACGCATGCGCAGAACGTTTGTGTGATGGGGGTCGCTGTCACACAAACGTTGAGAACCACTGCTCTAGTAGCTCAGTGTTATAATAATGACACTGTCCACCCATTTGTTTTCTACTTCAGCTTTGGCGGTGACCTGAGAATCCTTCTACGCAATACACAATACAGTAAAGACAAGGAAACACCATGGGAGGTAAGTTAACAAAAAGTTCCTTGTACTCCAATCTTGTAAGGTTATGGGAAATTAGGAAGAGGATGGAGTATTAGATACATTTACTGCCTTGAGTTATTTTATAAAAATAATAAAGGAAAGATTTTAAAAGAAATCTAAAATATTAAGGTAAACGTAGTGCAAAGGATGGATGCTTTAAAGCAGGGGTAGGCAACCTTGGCTCTTTTATGACTCGTGGACTTCAACTCCCAGAATTCCTGAGCCAGCTGGCTCAGGAATTCTGGGAGTTGAAGTCCACGAGTCATAAAAGAGTCAAGGTTGCCTACCCCCTGCTTTAAACAAAGTGTGGGAATGTGAAAGCTTTAATCTCAGCAGTAACTTTGCACATAAAGGGTTGGCAGAACCTGGAGGTGGAGTTAAAAGAGGGATCAGCCTAGAATCCCTACATCGCCACAAGCAAACTACATCCGACTCTTCTTGAATTCCATAGTACTTAGCTAACTCTATGCGGGTGCCAATTGTAAATTGAGAAGATTCCTGCACATAGGTTTTCAGCAAACAATCAGTTTAATTGGACCTTCACATGTGGACCTTGTCTTTCCACCTGACAGCATACAGGTAGTCCTCAACTTACGACAATTCGTTTAGTAACCGTTCAAAGTCACAACAGCACTGAGAAGAGGGACTTACGATCCTTTTTTCAGACTTAAGACCATTGCAGACTCCCTGCAGTCACAGGATCAACATTCAGATGGTTGGCAACCAACTCATATTTATGACGGTCGCTGTGTCCCGGGGGGGGGGGTCACGTTGTCCCCTTTTGCGACTTTCTGACCAGCAAAGTCGACGTGGGAAGCCCGATTCACGTAACAACCGTGTCACTAACTTAATAACTGCAGCCATTCACTTAGCAACTGTAGCAAGGAAGGTCGTAAAATGGGACAAAATTCGACGTCTCGCTTGGCGACAGAAATTTTGAGCTCAGTTGTGGTCGTAACTTGAGGACTCCCTGTATAGCTAAATAAAATGGTTATTTCCCCTCCTGCTCGGGATTGATTTTTGTTTTTCAGTTTGGGAAGAGAGAACCGCAGTCCCCCCACCCAAAATGATTTATTGCTTTTTCTTGCAGAACGAATGAACAATTTCCCCCCTCTTCCCCGATTCATCCCCCTGAAGCCATGTTTTTACCAGGATTTCGATGAGGAAATCCCGCCCCTTCACAGAACTACGGTCAAACGTCTTTACTACCTCTGGATGTGTGAGTTAAGGGTCTCTGGGTGGGAGGGGCAACCAGTTAACCAGACAAAAGCGGTAGGGAAAAAAGAAAGAAAGATAGACTATATTGCTTTACCTCAGTGTTTCTCAACTTTGACAATTTTAAGGCATGTGGACTTCAACTCCCAGAATTCCACAGCCAGCAATGCTGGCTGTGGAATTCTGGGAGTTGAAGTCCACATGCCTTAAAATTGTCAAGGTTGAGAAACACTGCCCTAACTAAAACTTAGATACGTTATTTTTCTGGGGTATACTTTCCAGCAAAAAAAGGCCCCGTAGTGAACCATGGATTTGCTTAACGACCACTGTGTTCACTTTACGACCACCGGGTCTGCATAAGGGCCACCACGAAAAAGGTTGTGAAATCAGGGACGGTCAGGTGTGTACAGGTAATGCTCAACTGACAAGAGTTTGTTTAATGACTGTTTGAAGCTACGCCGGCACTGAAAAAAAATAACATGACCGTTTGCCACGCTTAACGACCGTTGCAGCATTGCCCAGGCTCACGTCGTCCAAATTCAGGCATTTGGCCTCTGGCTCGTATTTACGACGGTGGCAGCGTCCCAGGGTCAGGTGATCCCCTTTTTTGCAACCTTCTGACCAGTAAAGTCAACGGGAGAAGCAGGATTCGCTTAAGGACTGTGTTATTAACTTAACAGCCACAGTGATTCACTTAACAACGGTGATAAGAAAGGTCGTAAAATGGGGTAGAATTCACTTAACAATTGTCTCAGTTAGCAACATAAATTCTGGGCTCCGTTGTGGTTGTAAGTTGAGGACCACCTGTACAATCAAGGGCGACTCACTTCACAACCGCTTTGCTTAGCAATGGAAATTCTGCCCCCCCCTGTCGTTGTTGTAAGTCGAGGACTCCGTATACAGCTTAGAAATGGGGAAGGATCCTTCATCTAGTTTCTGAACTGCAGTACATCAAGGATCTTTTGTGAGCTCTGCTTGTCTCCCGCTGTATGATTTGCCTCTTTGCTTTCTCTCTCTCTCTCTCTCTCTGTTTCTCACTCTCTTTTTCTCTCTGTATCTCTTTCTCTCTCTTTCTCTCATTTTGTTTCTCTCTTTATCTGTTTCTCTTTCTTTCTCTCTCTCTATGTATCTCTCTGTTTCTCTCTCTCTGTTTCTCTTTTTCTCTCTGTATCTTTTTCTCTCTTTCTTTCTGTTTCTCTCTCATTTTGTTTCTCTCTTTATCTCTTTTTCTGTTTCTCTTTCTTTCTCTTTCTCTCTCTTTCTGTTTCTCTTTTTCTGTTTCTCTCTCTCTCTCTTTATCTATGTCTCTCTCTCTCTCTTTATCTATGTCTCTCTCTCTCTCTCTTTCTCTTTCTATAACTGTGTCTGCAGTGAATAGCATCACCTTGGCGGTCAATCTGATCGGTTGCCTCGCATGGCTGATTGGCGGTGGTGGAGCTGTTAACTTTGGACTGGCAATCCTTTGGCTTATTCTCTTTACACCCTGCTCCTACGTCTGCTGGTTTAGACCTATTTACAAAGCTTTCAAGTAAGTGATAGGGCGGGATCTGGACTTCCATTCCCCCCTTCTTTTTCTGCAATGATGCATCTGCTCACCGGAAACTCCTCCTTACAGCCACTCCTCGTTTAGTGACTACCTGGGTTAGCCACCAACTCACAAACACCGCAGTGATAAACAGTCATATTAAAATACTTCATTTTCCAGCCAATATGTCTGTGCATTTACATCAAAACGGACTGCAGCCTGACAACAAAAGCTTTTGGCGAGAAACTGACTAAGGTCTAGTCAGTTTCAGCCAGGAGTTGGGAGCTGACTGGAGAGATCTGATCAACTAATTAAAGTCACAGAGCTTAGCTTGTTAAATCGCCCTTGGCATTTTTTTAAAGAGACTTTTACCTGGGGAGAATATCAGCTCAGGAAAAGATGGCTTGTTTAAGCAATCTCTCTGCCTTGCAAGGGATAAAATAATACTAATAATACTAATAATACTAATAATACTAATAATAATACACAACATAACACCCCAGACTTAACAATTGTCAGTAAGAAAGACAAAAAAGTCTGGATAGTGGACGTGGCAGTGCCTGGAAACAGCAGAATAGACGAGAAAGAACTGGAGAAGATAACAAAATACAAAGACCTACAAATAGAAATAGAAAGACTGTGGCAAAAGCAAGCAAGGGTAGTACCAATAGTGATAGGATCCTTGGGTGCAATCCCAAAACAACTGGAGCACCACTTGAACACCATTGGCATTGACAAATTCGCTATTAGTCAATTGCAAAAGGCGGCCTTACTAGGAACTGCTTCCATCCTGCGACGATATCTGTAATACCATCAAACATCCACATCTGCCTATCCCAGGTCCTGGGTAAGGACTCGATAGGTAGACAAAATGCCAAATCCAGTCTGAACATCTGGCTGACTGTGCGATGATCCATAATAATATGAAGCTCAGCCACAGGGCACTGTATGAGACTCTGAACTGGATGGCAGCAACCAGCGATGGTTGCAGTGTCTCTGCCTCTCAGGGGAATTCTGGGAGTTGAAATCCACCCCCCCCCCGAAGCTGCTGAGGTTGAGTAGATGGTCCCTTCGTTTTGCAGGACGGACAGCTCCTTCAGCTTCATGGCGTTCTTTTTCACCTTCATGGCGCAGCTCGTGATTAGCATCATACAAGCCGTCGGCATCCCCGGTTGGGGAATTTGGTAAGTGGGACGATTGTTGCTTGTTCATGGTTTTGCTCAGCCTTCCCAGACCGGTATTTTTCGGCATTCATTGGGAGCTTAGGATCCAGCACTTGCTGCTGTTTGCTAGGTAGAAAACACGGGCCGAAAACTTTTTGATGGACTCGGTAGAAGGATGCCAGTATTTTTTTTGCAAGGCTGGTGACTTAGTGGTGAAAACACCAGGCTAGAAACCACTCAGACTGTAAGTTCTAGTCCTGTCTTAGCCATGAAAGTCGATGGATGACTTTGGGTCAATCACCAGGAGAAATGGAATTCTAGTCCGCCTTAGGCATGAAAGCCGCTTGGTTGACTTTGGACCAATCACTAGGAGACAGAGAGTTCTAGTCCGGCCAAATTAGGCATGAAAGTCCACGGATGACTTTGAGCCGATCACCAGATGGTGAATTCTAGTCTCGTCTTAGGTGTGAAAACCGGCTGAATGACTTGGGGCCAGTCATACCCTCAGCCCAACACAGGGTGGTTATTATGGGGGAAACAGGAGGAGGAAGTTATTTATAGTTATTTATAAAAATTATAAAGACAAGGTTTTTTTTTTTTAAAAAAATCTTTTTAAGGAACATCTTTCAATAAGTAGCCTTAGATCATAGCCCCCAATGATCTAAAAAGTCTTGTTTTGTTTTGCTCCAGTGGCTGGATTGCAACCATCTCTTTCTTTGGGACCAATGTGGGCTCGGCGGTCGTGATGCTGATTCCCACCGTTCTCTTCACAGCCATGTCTGTGTTTTCCTTCATCGCGCTCAGTATGGTAAGAGAAGGGATTTATTTGCGAAAGCCTTTTGTACTTTTTGAAGATGCCTGCTGATCCCTAAAAAAACCCCCCATAACTAAGGTGACCAACCGTTCTCCTTTAGGGAGGACAGTCCTCCTTTTGTAAGTTCTGTCCTCCCTCAAAAAGTGTCCTCCTTCATGTCCTCCTTTTTTGATATTCGAAGACTAATCTGCAGGGCTTTATTTATTTATTTATTTATTTATGAGACTTATATACCGCTTTAAGTGCAAGCACTCTCTAAGCCAGCAGTTCCCAACCTGTGGGTCGCGACCCCATTTGGGGTCAAACGACCATTTTACGGGGGTCGCCAAACAACACGATCCACCATTTTTCCCCCACAGGGGGTGGAGCCGCACATGCGCGCCGCACATGAGGGTGGAGCCGCGCATGCGCGCCGCACATGGGGGCAGAGCTGTGCATGCACGCCGCACATGGGGGCAGAGCCGCGCATGCGTGGCGGAGCCGTGCATGCGCAGCACGTCCGTGTGACGGGGGTCGCCGTCACAAAAAGGTTGAGAACCGCTGCTCTAAGCGGTGTACACCAGTAAGCAATGTATATATATATATTTACATTGCCCCCAACAATCTGGGTCCTCATTTTACCTCCCCCGGAAGGATGGAAGGCTGAGTCAACCTTGAGCCGGTGAGATTTGAACCGCTGACCTGCTGAACACAGTCAGCTAAAGTGGCCTGCAGTACTGCACTCTTAACTGCTGCGCCACCTCGGCTCTTTTTCCTCATAGAACGCTCAGAATGGCGTTCTGGCACCTTTTTTTGATGGTTTTTTTTCAACTTTTGCATGAGCTGTGCTACTCCCGCTATTGGCTTTTGAAAGCCAATAGGAATTGCTGCTGAGCACGCCAAAACACCCGGCTGGCAAACTTTGCACATGCAGGTTGTCTGTATTATTGTTGCAATGAATAAAATGTTTCTTTTATTTACGATATTTTTTCCTTCCATTTATTTGTGTCCTCCTTTTCATTGTAAAAAGGTTGGTCACCTTACCATAACATTTGCCTTGGGTTTACTGACTGAAGAGGCACAGCATGAAAGGAAAGTGGGCTTGGGGAGAAGAGGAAAACTAAGTCTCCTTCCTCCTTGTCCAGGGAGTCCTCCACTCACAACCGTTTGTTTCGTGACCATGCAAAGTTACAACGGTCCCTTCTTCTCTTCTTCCTCTGCAGGTGCACAAATTTTACCGAGGGAGCGGCGGCAGTTTCAGCAAAGCGCAGGAGGAGTGGACCACCGGCGCCTGGAAAAACCCCCAGGTCCAGCAGGCAGCACAAAACGTGGCCGTGGGTGCTGCTCACAACACCATGATGCAGCATGAAACGCAGTATTCAGCCACCCCTAACTATAACTACCCCAACGACATATGAGAAGTCAGGACCTCCGTCCAATGTGAACCCTAGAAGGTGTTGGCTTTAGGTGGGCAGGAAGGAACAAAGAAGGCGTGCATTGTGGGTGCGGGTATGTTGTGTAGGTTTCCAAGGGATGAATTCCACCATCTTGTTGCAGGGGAGGGGGCAAGATGGCGGGAGAGCCGTTTCCACGAGAAAATTTCTGAATTTAATTCTTCCTCTTCCTGGGTCCCCGTCCTTGGACCCCCGTGGCATTTTTTCCCTCCTCCTCGTCCTCCTCCTCTGAAGCTTGTTGCCCTGCAGGACAGTTGTGTTGTGCTGTGGTGCCTGTACTTGTGTGTTTGCTCATTTCTCTCTCTCTCTTTCTCTCTCTTTGGTGAAACTGTGCACGGTGGTGTTTTGCGGCATTTCTCGTGGTGATTATGATTTTTCTAGCCACATCGGAGCCCTGGAGGGCAGTGAGAGGGAAACCTTGAGCATTTCATCCATCCTTGGTTGTTGCTTCTAGGAAAAATATTTTGCATACCCTGACGCCGATTCTCCCTGCAGTATAGTGGATTGCTGGCTTCTTGTCCTTCCCCTCTCCACTTTCTCTCTCTTGAAGCTGAAGCAATAACCCCAGCAGCTAAGGGCCGGGGAAGAAACCGGGTTAAAAATGGGCTCATTTCACATTCTTGGGAAGGCCACATTTATCAAGATGGAAACCAAGACAGCTTAACTCTGTCTTGGATATTTTCATCCTCTCTCTCCTGTCCCTTTCATAGGTCGCTCCCTTTCAAGCCTCAGCAAATTCACATTTTACGAAACGTCTTGATCGTCAGAGTGAACAATACTTAAAAAGCAGGCCTTCCTTAAAAGGATGTCTGCTGAAGACTAAACCACCTTGCAATGTGGATTTTAGGATTGGTTTTCCAACCCAGCTCGTCCTTCCGTGAGGACCTGGCTGTATTTTTGCTCTCCGAAATGATCCGGCTCCACGTTTCTAGGTTTTAAGTTCTTAAAAAGCAGGTTCATCTTTCTTTGGAAGCAGCCAAGCGGCTAATGTGTTGCTCTGACTTCCTTGCAAAATATTAGCTCCCCTCCTTTCAAGAGCATCCGCAGGGAGGTGGTCAAAAATAAATAAATAAAAATCAAGGTAACTTTGCAAAGAAAGTTCCACCCCTTTTTAATCTGCGCTGAGTCTTGACTTTTGTTTTTCCTCATTTGCAGACTTTTCTGCTTTGTTCCCTTGTGTGGTTCCACTCTTTTCAAGGATCTGTCGAGTCTACGAAATGGGGTTGAGCATCTGTTGAGAAGGGGAGCGTTCAGATGCAGATAAGATGGGTTTGTTTTAAGCGGCTGGGTTGATCTCAGGCACCTCTCCAATGCATGTCAATTAAACTAGCATTGTGGAGTCCTTGTTGCTCTCACAGCTTGGTGGTTTTCTTGCAGACGTTTCCTGATCCAGTTAGATAACGTCATCACTGCTCTGATGGTGTTATATGGTGCTCTGACAGGAATGGTGATCCTCAGGTATGATGTTACCTAATTGGGTAACGAGAAAGTTCTGCAAGAAAACAACTTACTTGGAATTCTGTAAGTTGAAATCCACCTATCGTAATGTTGACAAGATTAAGAGACATTCCTGTACATTCTTCGATTTGTAGAGTGCTTTTATTTGTTGGACTATGTTGATTGCAAAAGCCTGATAGCAAAAGCTGTCATTATTCTGAAAAAGAGATAGACGTCTGTATATTTGCATTGATTCCAGATGGGCTCCTTTTATCCTAGCACTATAGAGATCTAATCTCCTTCAAATCCTCCTTTGGTGGAGAAGAATCGTGTCCCCAAATAGCCGTGGTCATCACAATCCTGATGCAGTATCTAATTCACCATGCAATCTTGTGTTTGTTTTTTTTAAATAGATATCTCAATGGGAAAAGGAGGTGGAATTTTAAAACATCCGACCACACGTGTTTATACAATTGTTCCATGTCTGTCCCTGATGAAACAGTGTCAACCTGGAAATTAATGAATAAAATAAACTGTATCAATAAAATGACTTTTTCTTTCTTTCCGTAGTAGGCGATTTTAGACCTGAAGCAGGGATGTCAAAATGCAGGATTGTATGTGGTAGTGACAGCGGAAAGCTCTGATGAAAATTGTGAGGGAATTGGGTGAGGAGGCTATAAAGGGTGTTGAGGTATCTGAGTGAGAAGGGGGAGTTGGTTTACATAAGCCACAGTTAAACCACATGTGAGCAGATTCACACACTGTAAAAACCGTTTTATGCAGATGATAACAGTATTTTCTTTGGTAAGTCTCATTGCTTAGGTGCTTTTCTTGCTTTGACCTAGTGGCAGTTTTGGCCAAAGCATCTTTTCAAAAGCAAAAATCCATTGTTAAAATAGAAGACACACTAAAATCTGGGGGGGGGAGTCTTTCTACTGCAAGGAGACAAAACCACACAGGAACCTGGAGGGGTGTTTTTCAAACCTGGCCAGATAAGTGGACTTCAACTCCCAGAATTCCCCAGCCATTCCTTGCTGGCAGGAGAGTTCTGGGAGTTGAAATCCATTCATGGCCGAGTTTGAAAAAGACATGCTTAGAGTTTCCAAGTTACAAAATGTGTAATACGGAGTGGATTTCCAGCAAATTTGGCATTAGGATACCATTGAAGAAATATAGGATTTCTCTTAAAAGCGGGGTCTCCTGTCTTAGCTGTCAAAGTGCGTGTTTACTCTGAGGGAAGTTAGTCCAGAGAAGGAAATATTTAAAAAGGGCAGAAAAATACATTTTTCCTCCAAAGGACTTTTTTAAAAACCAAACCTGGCCCCAAATCTATCTCTCTGCCCCAAGCAAGATTTTAGCCCCATACAAATGCAGATGTAAAACCATCAGAAAGTTGGAGCCAGGGCAATCAAGAAGACAAAAGAGAAGATCTGCATACTCCACCCAAACTCTAGGAGTCATTAGCCCCATCACCTGGGAAGCAGGATATGATAACAGGATTAAACCACAGATATCAAGGCCTAGACAAACACACAGAAACAGCCTCAAGGTTCATGCCACAGGAACAGGAAACTATTCCAAACAAGGCTAGAGAGGGTATAAAAAAACCTACTGCCTATGTGCTCACTCTCTCTTTCCTCTCCTCTGCTCCTTCCTGCAAGGACCATCTTTCTGCTTCTTCAATAAACTGTAACCTTCTTCCCAAAGCAGTCTCCATGTTGCCTATTTATTCCCGGCTTGGATGAACCAGGATGAAGATTTACTTCTGACAATTCTGCTGTCCTCATTCTAAAAGTAAAAAAATAATAATAATTCTGAGTTTAAACATGCCTTGCTATGAGCCATCCTCCGAAGAGGGAGGGAGAGAGAAGGTAATGCGTATGAGTCTAGGAATCCAATCTATGGTCATCCTATCCGGAAGTGGAGTCAGAAGAGCTCGTCTAGCCATTATATCCCTCGTCAACCACTTCGCTCTTCTGAAAGGAAACGGAAGTTGAGCTGGTTTAAAGCGGCTGTGCTCTCTGTGATCCAGAAAAAACCGGAAGGTACTGTCTTTATTGACATCCGCCGGCCGGAACTTTTTGATCAGTGAATTGTGTACGCTTATATAACTTTCCCCCCTTTCCTTCTCTCCACGTATATGCAGTATGTGTATATTTACGTATATTTAATTTTATACGTTATACCGACCCGGATTGGATCCTGCAACGTTATTCTGGGACACGTATATTCGCCCTCATTACATATTTTTAGATCCGTTGTTAGACTCTGAAGGAAGGGAAAGCTGAAGGCAAGTGCACATCTGTCCTCTCCTCCCCCCCCACCCCAAACCCTTCTTGCAAGGTAGGCCAACTTGCAAGAACGAGCGATTCCCCCCCCCCAATGAACCTTCGTGGATGGCCAAAGATTGAGCCTCTTCAGACGTTGCTCTCACTTGGGGTTTTTCCACAGTCCGCGGGGCCTCTCCGGTTCTTGCTTGGCTCAATAAAGACATGGCCTGGGTGGGTCTTGCTCCTGAAAATCCCCACGTGGCACTTGAGAAACTGGGGTGGGTTTACTGCTGAGTTAAAGGAGTGTTTCTCTATATCCCCCCCATCCCTTTCTCTCATCTATCCATTCATCCATCCATCCATCTCTCTCTCTCTCTCTCTCTCTCTCTCTCTCTCTCTGTGTGTGTGTGTGTGTGTGTGTGTGTGTGTGTAGACAGGCAGGCAGAGATAGATGGATGGATGGATGGATAGATAGACAGAGGGGGGGAGGGAGAGTGTGTGTGTGTGTGTGTGTGTGTATGTGTGTGTGTGTGTGTGTGAGAGAGAGAGAGAGAGGGAATTTATATATGGCCTGCCCATATCCTGCATAAGGCATCTTTGGGCAGAGTATAGTTTTGGAGCATAAAGTTAGTTAGTAAGTTGACCAAAAGCATTAAAAAGATATTTAATTTGGAGTAGTAATTCTCACATTTTCTTACAGGTGGAAAAGGATCACTGGGTCTGATTATGGAGGCTGCAGCGTCTCCTCCGCCGCTAATCTGCCCCATGGCTTCGGAGAAGAATGCCCGCATCCTGATCGGGGTAACTGGGAGTGTGGCTGCGCTAAAGTTGCCTCTTTTGGTGGCAGAGCTTCTGAAGATACCTGGAGTGAGCAGTTTTTCATTGTTTTTATTTATTTGTCAAATTCAGAGACCCCCCTCATTTCAACTCTTAGGTACAAATATTCTCCTTTTTTAATACCCACTGTTCTTCTCTTTTTAGCTGGAGGTTCTAGTGGTGACAACAGAAAGTGCAAAACACTTCTATAAACCCGAAGAGATTCCTGTCAGAATCTACAGTGACTCTGATGAGTGGCAGGTCAGGATCGTTCAAACAGGTTTATTTATTTTTTCTTTAGGGCTAAGGAGCTTTTATTTGCACCCTAATTCACAAATTTTGAGGAATGAGCTTCTGATTGCAGCATTTCCTTGTCTTTGGAAGCCAACAGCAAATGATCTTATGTTTTATATCTTGCACTATTTGAATTGTGATTACTTGGCTTGTTCTGAGTTTGTTTTACTGAGCCCAGAAAGATCAGTAAGAATATTTAATAATGGATTTATGTAGAATGTGATGAAGCCTGCTGGGTGAATTAGATTAATTTAGGCATTATTTTGTCCTCAGCTGTGGAAAAAGCGCACCGACCCTGTGCTACATATTGACTTGAGGCGTTGGGCTGACCTCATGCTGGTGGCTCCTCTGGATGCAAACACCCTCGCCAAAATTGCAAATGGTATTTGTGACAACTTACTGGTGAGTTACTGGTGCAGGGTGCTCCATTGTTCACCCCAGTTCTTCCTCATTAAGACTTGTGTGGTAAGCTGGTGTTTCATGACCCTCTGCATTAATGGCACTTGTAGAAACTATGAAGACATCAAGAGGATGTTGGGTGTGCAGATGCTGCACGTATGGTATCATGATGTGCCAGTCCTTCAAGATAGAGTAGAAAACCAGTGTCATGTAGGTCAATGCAAGTTTATTGTAAAGCTATAGTAACAGAGTGGGGGGGGGCATGATGACACTGAGTTTGTCAGATGGAAAGTTGACAAGCTTGGGTTTGAGTCCTGAGCGCCGTGCAATGGGGTGAGATCCCATTCCTCACCTCAGTTCCTGCCCATCTAGCAGTTTGAAAGCATGCAAATGCAAGTAGATGAATAGGTACCACTTTGGTGGGGAGGTAACAGTGTTCTGTGTTCCAAAGCCCCAGAAGGCAGGACAAGAAGCAATGGATAGAAACTAACCAAAGAGAGAAGCAACTTAGAACTAAGGAGAAACTTCCTGACAGTTAGAACAATTAACCAGTGGAACAACCTGCCTCCAGAAGCGGTAAATGCTCCAACACTGGAAGTTTTGAAGAAGAGACTGGATAGCCATTTGTCCGAAATGGTGTAGGGTTTCCTGCCTGAGCAGGGGGTTGGACTGGATGACCTCCAAGGTCCCTTCCAACTGTATTATTACTATTATTATTATTATTATTATTATTATTATTATCATCGCTGGCTCCCTCAGTCAAGAAATGAACGCAGCCCTCTAGAGTGTGAAATGATTTGATGGGAAACCTTTACCTTTATCGTAACAGAACCTTTCAAATCTGAAAGTGATGCCATCCTCCCTCACTTTATCTTCATGAGAAGTAGAGAGGGGCCGGTCTGAAACGTTTACCTTCTTACTCCAGACTCCTATCTCTTTTATCTGATTTTGGCCTTGGTAGTGGTAGCATCTCTTCTTCCTGTCTTTTGGGGCCGTTCTTTCTACCCCCTCCCTCAGGGGTCTTCAGACTTGGCCCTTTTATGACTTGTGGACTTCAACTCCCAGAATTCCTCAGCCAGGCACTGCCCTTCCCCTCCTCCTCCCTCCATCTCCCATGTAGACCCCTAAGACTACAAATGGCTCCAGTCTATTCCTGGAGCACCTTCCAAGCTCTCTGCTTCTTGATTTATTTTAGAAATTCACCAGCCCCAGCCTCCATGCTTCTATCCCAGGTTCTGACTGCATTCCCCCTGTGGTTCAGAGCCTCATCTGTAGCCATTTCCCCTTGCCTTTCTCTGCAGACGTGCGTCATCCGCGCCTGGGACGTGAGCAAACCTTTGCTCTTCTGCCCTGCCATGAACACCCTTATGTGGGAGCACCCCATCACAGCTCAGCAAGTGGGGCAGCTGAAAGAATTTGGCTACATAGAGATCCCTTGCATAGTGAAGAAGCTGGTTTGTGGAGACGAAGGTGGGTGTGCTTCTCCTTCCAGGCTCATTAGAGCGAGGTGAAAAGATGAGCCGAGGTGGCGCAGCAGTTAAGAGTGCAGTACTGCAGGCCACTTTAGCTGACTGCGATTCAGCAGGTCAGCGGTTCAAATCTCACCGGCTCAAGGTTGACTCAGCCTTCCATCCTTCCGGGGTAGGTAAAATGAGGACCCAGATTGTTGGGGGCAATGTAAATATATATATATACATTGCTTACTGGTGTACACCGCTTAGAGAGTGCTTGCACTTAAAGCGGTATATAAGTCTCATAAATAAATAAATAAAATAAATACGGACAGGTAATCTTTGACTTACGACTGCAATTGACCCCTTTGCTTTCTGGTTACACAGGCCGAGGGGCCATGGCCGACATTTCAAGCATTGTGGAAAAAACAGAGGCGGTGCTGTTGGAACGGGGCCTGCTGAAGCCGCGCTGATTCCCAAATTACAGGTACTCTCTGCTTTTCACGGAATTTTGCTCCGTGAAGAGCAGATCAGGGAACAGGGAAACCGTAAGAAGCAGGCTGATACTTGCCTCCTGCTTTACCAAAAGAGTAGTGGAAGCTTGGAACGGACTTCCAGTGGGAGACAATGGGCCATTCCTCAGAAACTGAGTTTAAACACGCTTGGGATAAACGCATCTCCATCCTCCGATTAAAATTTAAAAAAAATAAACAAGTGAAACGATAAATGCATAAGTAAATAAAAACATAAATAAATACATTAAAAAGAAAGCAAAAACAAAATAACCCCCCTCAAAAAAACCCTCTCAAAAGGTAGACTCAGTGGATTACTGGGTCTTTTTCTGCCATCCGTTTATTATGTTTTGGTGTTTCCACAACTCTTAAAAGGCACCTCCAGCGGGTTGCTCAGTTGCTTCTTTTGGACCACCTCTATTCTCGTTTCAGCCTGAAATTCTGCACCTCATCTAGGCTTCTTTTTGTCTACACTCTGGGCTTCCAGAGCAGCGTTTCTCAACCTTGACAATTTTAAGGCATGTGGACTTCAACTTCCAGAATTCCACTGCCAGCATTGCTGGCTGTGGAATTCTGGGAGTTGAAGTCCACATGCCTTAAAATTGTCAAGGTTGAGAAACACTGTTCTAGAGCAGTGGTTCTCCACCTGTGGGTCGGGACCCCATTTGGGGTCGAACGAACATTTCACGGGGGTCGCCAAACAACGCAGTCCGCCATTTTTTCCCCCTTTTCCTTAGCTGGGCTCCTCCCTTTTATTCTATTTGCTTTTGAAAGCCAATAGAATAGACTCTCTTGAATAAAGTCTAATTCTATTGGCTTTCAAAAGCCAATAGGAATTGTCCAGGCTGTCTCTGCCCTGCTGAACCCGCCAAAAGTCCCATTCTGCAAAGGGTTCTGCACCAGCTGAGTAGTCTCGACTTACGACCGGTTGAGTAGTCCTTGACTTACGACCAGTTGGGGGTCATGGCATTAAAAAGGTTGAGAACCACTGTTCTAGAGCTTTTTTTTTTAGAAGAGAAGGGGGGGTCAAGATGCAGTGATTCAGGCAGGTGAATCTCCTGCAAAGTTCACCTCCCTAATTATTAGGCAGCTCACCCCAGAGATATTAGACAGCTCACCCCAAAGACCCCAGAGATAACGCCTGGCAAGGCAGAGGTAGGTCAAAGGTTTTGACCTACCTCTGCCTTGCCAGGCGTATCTCTGCAATCCACTGCTGGAATCAAGGGACTCCCATCCCACATTCCTTTCGGATGAGGCTCACGGCGGGTGAGGGAGGGAGACCCAAGGCCCCAGATTGTCAGGGGAAGTGACCCTCAGGAGGACTTGCCCTTTGCTCTGACGGGCTCATGGTGCGAGGAATGCCGCCAACATCAAAGGGGAAACAAACAATGCCTCTGTCAGTGTGGGGCTTCTGCCAGAACACAAAATGTTCCTAGCGTGTTGATTTGGGGCTGCTTTGCAGGCTGGGCAATGGGGGTGGGGAAGCCCAGGAATTCATTTACCAAGAAAGAGGGTCAATCTTGTGAAAACACTCCCAATTCACAATCAACAACTTGTTACAGGAGTACCAGGAAAGGGGATGGATTAGAAAAAGGGAGCCAAGCTTGCCTTATTTATTTATTTTTTAATCTGTGTCCATGGATGGGTCGGTAGCCTGTCACATCAAGCCAGAGTTTATTCACGTGTCCCTGAGTGCGTTAAAAAGATAAAAAAAAAAACCAAGCCCAATAACTCATCCCCCCCACTTACCCAATCCTGGTAAACAGCTATCAAAAGGTTGCCTTATGGCAGTGTTTCTCAACCTTGACAATTTTAAGGCATGTGGACTTCAACTCCCAGAATTCCACAGCCAGCATTGCTGGCTGTGGAATTCTGGGAGTTGAAGTCCACATGCCTTAAAATTGTCAAGGTTGAGAAACACTGCCCTGTGGTAAGATGGGCGGCCTATATATTTTATAAATAAATAGATAAATAAACATATCAGAGACCTTTTCATTGTAATGCTTGGTTTCAGGACCGCTATAGGTAGTTCTCTACTTATAACTAGTCGCTTAACAACAATTTGAAGTTAACGATGGACTCCAAAAACAGGGCTCTGTTCTGGGCCCAGTGCTCTTCAACATCTTCATCAACGATCTGGACAGGGGATAGATGGGAAACTCATCAAATTTGCAGACGACACCAAGCTGGCAGGAATAGCCAACACTCCAGAAGACAGGCTTAGGATACAGGAGGATCTGGATAAACTTGAACACTGGGCACTATCTAACAAAATGAAATTCAGTGGTGAAAAAAGTAAGGTTCTACATTTACGCAAGAAAAACCAAATGTACAGGTATAGTATAGGGGGTACCTTGCTCAATAGTAGTAACTCGGCTGTTGAAATTGGGTATGTTTAGTTTAATGAAGAGAAGGACAAGGGGGGACATGATAGCAGCATTCCAATATCCCAGGGGCTGCCTCAAAGAAGAGGGAGTCAAGCTATTCTCCAAAGCCCCTGAAGGCAGGACAAGAAGCAACGGATGGAAACTAATCAAGGAGAGAAGCAACTTGGAACTAAGAAGAAATTTCCTAACAGTGAGAACAATTAAACAGTGGAACTACCTGCCTCCAGAAGCTGTGAATGCTCCAACACTGGAAGTCTTTAAGAAGAGACTGGACAGCCGTCGGTCTGAAATGGTGTAGGGTTTCCTGCCTGAGGAGGTTCGACTAGATGACCTCCAAGGTCCCTTCCAACAACATCATCATCATCATTATTATTATTACTTACGACCCATCTCCAAAGTTTTAACAGTAGCACTATCCCCACAATCATGTAATCACATTTGGGCCACTTGGAAACCAGCTTGGTTGTGGTATTCCATCGTCACGTGATCTGGCAAAAACCAGGGGGGGGGGATCCATTGGATGAGCTAGGTTAGGGTTTGACAACCATGTCACTCACTTACCAACCCATGATTTGCTTAACAACCATGGGGACTCAAGACTGCAATGACTTACAGTCAAATTCTAGGCTCAATTGTCATAAGTTGAGGACCACCTGTACAATTTTCCCAAGGCTTGAGGACTCACATGAAGGATGCTAAGCTTTGGGGAAGATGGCCAAATGTTAATTTCACAGGCCCAAATTCTCAGCTTTGGTCCTAAGTTAAAGGTGCCCATTGATTGTCTAAAGACTAAAGTTAAAACGACTAAGACATATATTAACTAAAAATTATTGATAAATGTTAGAAAGTTATTTTCTGTTTGATCGACAGAACAAGAATTGTATGAGTTAAAATATGAGACAGTAGATATTAAGGGAGAAAGAGAGGGAATGGGGATTGTAACAGTTTGAGATCTGTATTAATGATATCTATGTGTAATAGAATTATTGTTCCCAACCGCCACTTTGCCTTCAAATATTTAAATGTAATATTAGAAAATCAATAAAAATTTACAAAAAAAAAATAAAAGTAAAGATGCCCAATGGAACTGGAGGATTCAGAAGCAAGTACATACATACATACATACATACATACATACATATATATATTTAAAGTCAATCAGATAAAAATAAAGAGCTCTGGGATGTAAGGTAAAAGGCTTTTTTTATTAATTGCTGAGCGTTCGTTAACAACCTGTTAACATCATCAGAGCAAAGGGCTAAATGAGAAGGGGGAGTATGTGCATAAATGTACATAACAGTTAAACAACAGTTGCAGAGGCATGTGCACATAGCGTGCTTACGTGATGATGTTAACAGGTTGTTAACAAACGCTCAGCAATTAATAAAAAAAGCCTTTTACCTTACATCCCAGAGCTCTTTATTTTTATCTGATTGACTTTAAATGTCCATATCTGGGATTCCAATATTCAAAATTATCAAAGACATATATATATATGTGGTCTTCCAAGACACTTCCAATTTTACGTGGGAGAAAACCCGAACAACCAAAGACCTACATACAAACACCCGCGAAAACCTCAGAAAACACACACACACACACACACACACACATATATAACTAACTAGCTTATATGTGGTCTTCCAAGACACTTCCAATTTTACGCGGGAGAAAACCCGAACAACCAAAGACCTACATATAAACACCCGCGAAAACCTCAGAAAACACACACACACACACACACACACACACACATATATAACTAACTAGCTGTGGGCCGGGTTGGTTAAGTCTTTTACTTGGTTTGTGAGGTTGACCAAGTTCCCATGCAGTGACCAACATCTCACTAACGTGAGAAAATGAAAGGTCTACGCATTTGCATAGCCAGATTGAGGAAAGCTGGCTTAAAAATTCCAGGACTGCCTTTTTTGTGATTAAAAAAATAATAATCATAGTTTCATCTCTCCAGCAGCTGCTCACGCATTTTTTTTTTTTTTTTTAGTCCTCTTGTAAGATGTTTATGCAGTTTGGAAAGCAGTGGTATACTTGGGGATATGACTCAACTCAATGCATTGCATATGCAACTTCCCAATCCTTGGTCTCTTCAATCAAAAAGATCGGGTGACCAGTGAGCAAGCATCTGATGAGGCCGTCAGCCATCCAACAGATATTGGATCTCCCTCTTCACAGCTTGCTTGGCCTTTAAATGCTGCATGGCTCCCGATGACTCTGGTCTTCGGAGAGGGAAGAACATTTTTATAGCTGTTGTGAAAAGTTGTGGTCCAAAGCTCAAAGGTAAAGGAAGGTCATGTTTGGAAATACCACCACCACCACCACCACGTGCCAAGTGGCCTTGCAGAGGGTAGCCAATGAGGTTGACTTTTCACAAATGTTGACGGATGTTTGTCGGCCCAGTTGCGCAAATGGGATCTGATGATCTGCAGGTCATCACACGGTGCTGAAGATAAAAAGCTCTTTGCCTTCAGTCTGGACACGCCGAGGAATGTTGTGCAGAAGATCTGGTTGTGCAAACCCCCCATAGAGCAGGCTGGCAATAGCCAAAATGAAAGGGTCTCTTTGAATTTTGACATTCCAGCCCTTGTCCTATCTGAGAAAAACAGCCAAGGAGAATCCGTAACGGGCCTATTCCATCGAAGGTGCTTCAAAGCACAGGTAGTCCTCAGGTTACAACAGTTCATTTAGTGACTGTTCAAAGTTACAACAGCACTGATAAAAGTGATGACCATTTTTCATACCAGCGTTGCAGCATTCTCCAGTGATCAAAATTCAGACGCTTGGCAACCTGATTCCCATTTATGACGGTCGCAGCGTCCCAGGGTCACCTTCTGACAAGCAAAGTCAGATTCACTTAACAACCGTGTCACTAAGGTAACTGCAGCTGTTCACAACAACGGTGGCAAGGGAGGTTGTAAACGGGGGCAAACCGCCCTTATATATATATATAGAATAGAGCTGGAAGGGACCTTGGAGGTCTTCTAGTCCAGCCCCCCGCTCAAGCAGGAGAACCTACATCATCTCAGATAGGTGATTGTCTAGTCTTTTCTTAAAGATCTCCAGTGATGGGTATTTGTGGGGGGAGCCCTGAATAAATGTCTCATTTGGCCATCCCTCTCGATGTACGGAGTTCAACTCTCCTGTTTTCAGCAATGGCGGTAATTGATGGAGAAGGCAGAGGTGAAGAAGAAGAAGAAGAAGAAGAAGAAGAAGAAGAAGAAGAAGAAGAAGAAGAAGAAGAAGAAGAAGAAGAAGAAGAAGAAGAAGAAGAAGAAGAAGAAGAAGAAGAAGAAGAAGAAGAAGAAGAAGAAGAAGAAGAAGAAGAAGAAGAAGAAGAAAGAAGAAGAAGAAGAAGAAGAAGAAGAAGAAGAAGAAGAAGAAGTTGTTGGAAGGGACCTTGGAGGTCATCTAGTCCAACCTCCTGCTCAGGCAGGAAATCCTATACCATTTTGGACAAATGGCTGTCCGGTCTCTTCTTTAAAACTTCCACTGTCCACGGTCTGTCCATTTGTCCAAAGTCTTCCTCTTAGTATAAGGAACGGTTGCTGGAATTGGGTATGTCTAGTTTAATGAAGAGAAGGACGAGGGGGGACATGATAGCAGTGTTGGAAGGGACCTTGGAGATCTTCTAGTCCAACCCCCTGCTCAGGCAGGAAACCCTATACAATTTGAGATAAGTGGCTGTTCCAGTCTCTTCTTTAAAACTTCCACTGTTGGAGCATTCACCACTTCTGGAGGCAGGTTGTTCCACTGGTTAATTGTTCTCACTGTCAGGAAGTTTCTCCTTCGGTCTAGGTTGCTTCTCTCCTTGATTAATTTCCATCCCTTGCTTCTTGTCCTGCCTTCAGGCGCTTTAGAGAATAGCTTGACTCCCTCTTTTTTGTGGCAGCCCCGAGATACTGGAACCCTGCTATCCTGTCCCCCCTCGTCCTTCTCTTCATTAAACTAGACATACCCAATTCCAGCAGCCGTTCCTTGTATGTTTTAGCCTCCAGTCCCCTGATCCTCTTCGTTGCTCTTCTCTGCACTCTCTCTAGAGTCTCCACATCTTTTTTTACATCGTGGCGATCAAAACTGGATGCCGTATTCCAAGTGTGGCCTTACCAAGGCATTATAAAGTGGTATTAATACTTCATGTGATCTTCATTACCTTTGGGGCCATCCTGGTTGCAGAAAACTCTGTTTGTCTCTCCAGCAGATGGCAGTTAGGAGCTGGTTGAGAAGGTGTGTGGCTTAAAGAGTTGGGAACTGGGGCTCTCTGTAGATCAATGTTTCTCAACCTCCGTTGCTTTTAAGTTGTGTGAACGTGAACTCCCACAATTGAGATTTTTTTTTCTTTTTTTGCAATGCTGCCTTGGGAGAATACCGGGAGCTGTCATTTCTAGGCTCCGCTTTTGCTGCTGTGTGAAATTATCCCATGAAATATTAGAAAGAGCCCCGGGAACCAATTTCTGCCTTCCTGGGGAACCATCCCTGAGCCAGTGATCTGGGCTGGTGCAAGACCCCCCAATTTTGAGGCTTCTGATTCTTTGGGTAGGGCCTGACTCTTGGAAAAAGGGCTGCCTGAATGGAATACGTTTTTTGGGGGCCCAGCGTGATTAAACAACACGAGGAATCTTGAGCTATCAAAACCACCGGTGTGGTTTGCTGCTGCTGCTGCTGATCTGAAGCTGGTTGTAAGTCTCATTTGCGTGTTTGTGGTTGAGAAGGAAGAATTTCCCCCCAAACCTGTGCCCTCTTAGCTTGTTAAACTGGCTGAGGTCCATGAAAGATGGAGGGCAGAGTACTCTGTGTTCCCACCAGCCTGACCTGATTGCTGCTTAAGCGTTTAGCAATCCACCCACTGAATGAATGTTGCGCAGGTGCCATTGCGACTCGCCAGTGAAAAAAGAATCCGTGTTATCTCTAAGGCTACGTAATAAACGGTTTTTTTTAAAACAGTCCCTCTGTCCATTTGTCCAAAGTCTTCCTCTTAGTATAAGGAACGGTTGCTGGAATTGGGTATGTCTAGTTTAATGAAGAGAAGGACGAGGGGGGACATGATAGCAGTGTTGGAAGGGACCTTGGAGATCTTCTAGTCCAACCCCCTGCTCAGGCAGGAAACCCTATACAATTTGAGATAAGTGGCTATTCCAGTCTCTTCTTCAAAACTTCTAATGTTGGAGCATTCACCGCTTCTGGCACAGGTTGTTCCACTGGTTAATTGTTCTAACTGTCAGGAAGTTTCTCCTTAGTTCTAAGTTGCTTCTCTCCTTGGTTAGTTTCCATCCATTGCTTCTTGTCCTGCCTTCAGGTGCTTTGGAGAATAGCTTGACTCGCTCTTCTTTGTGGCAGCCCCTGAGATACTGGAAGACTGCTATCCTGTCCCCTCTTGTCCTTCTCTTCATTAAACTAGACAGACCCAATTCCAGCAACTGTTCCTTGTATGTTTTAGCCTCCAGTCCCCTAATCATCTTTGTTGCTCTTCTCTGTACTCTTTCTAGAGTCTCAACCTCTTTTTTACATCCTGGTAACCAAAACTGGATGCAGTATTCCAAGTGTGGCCTTACTAAGGCCTTACCAAGGCATCACTTCTATGATGAAAACACCCACAACTTCTGGAGGCCAGTTGGTGAATTGTTCTCACTGTTAGGAAATTTCTCCTTTGTTCCAGGTTGCTTCTCTCCTTGATTAGTTTCCACCGGTTGTTTCTTGTCCTGCCTTCAGGTGCTTTGGAAAATAAGTTGACCCCCTCCTCTTTGGGGCAGCCCCTCCAATACTAAGATAAGATAGCCCCACCAAATTCTAACAGGTGTAGACTGACTGAATAAGTCATTTACAATCAGCTAGATAAAGATCAAAGGGTGCCATACTTGGAAGTGGAACTCCTGGAAGAGCAATGACAGCTCATTGGCCTAGCTTATCAAAAGGGCAGATAGCCTGCAAATTGCTCTTTCTTGTTATTGTAATGGAGAGGGTTCTTATTTTCTAAACATAGGTAAGTCTAACGGAGCTGGTTATCTTTATCCTTGAGCTTAACGGACAACTGACATAAATTTCATAGCTCTCTTTAGAACCGGAGAGGAAGTTGCATAGTAAAAAACAGGAGTTTTGCCAGTGTGGTCAGGATTTGCTGCTTCCATGCCAGTTTGATCTTGCTTGTGTTTGAGAAAGTTACACATTAGGAAGCTAGCAATTAGAAATTAACCAAAGAGAGAAGCAACCTATTATTATTATTATTATTATTATTATTATTATTATTATTATTATACCCAGCACTGATTCTATCAAAACACCTGGGTTCTCCCCAGTTCACAAAGCATATGGGATGTACTCTCTAATATTGCTGCCGTGCCTCGTTCATCTCTTTGCCAATTATTTTTCTTGCTTCCAAGTACTGTTGGCAATGGGACAAACAATTCAGGATCTGTTGACTTGAAGCCCTGTGCTGTTTGGGTGGACCCTGCAAGCCCCAATGATCTGGACCTAAGGTAACAGCTTAGACATCCAGAATCACTTGATGGTGAAAGCAATAAAATGAATAAATAAAAATCTTATTTTCCTGCAGAAAACTCATACATAGCACCCCCAAAATTGCTCTCAACAGTGAGATGGGCAACATAAAAGATGATTGATAGATGATAGACAGATAGATAGATAGATAGATAGATAGATAGATAGATAGATACAGACAGACAGACAGACAGACAGATAGATAGATACAGACAGACAGACAGACAGACAGATAGATAGATAAATAGATAGACAGGCAGGCAGGCAGATAGGCAGGAAGAGAAACTTCCTGACAGGACAATCAACTAGTGGAACAGTTTACCCCCAGAAATCGTGGGTGCTCCATCACTGGAGATTTTTAAGAGGAGACTGGACATTCACCTGTCTGACACGGTATAGGTTCTCCCGTTTAAGTGGGGGGCTGGACTAGAAGACCTCCAAGGTCCCTTCCAACTCGATTCTAATCTATAGGCAGATAGATGGGTAGATAGACAGATATGGATGGATGGATGGATGGATGTCTCCTAAACATCCTCTAACCATTTGTCCAACATCATGAGACATTACAATACCTAGTCATTGATCTCCTGAGCTAAGTGTCTTGGTAACTCATTCATCACATATTTTATTTGCCTCTCACCATATTACTTGATAGATAATCTTGAGGAATGTATGTTAGTTTCCCTGTTTCAAATGTCCTCAAGAAACATAAATATTAGAATCATAGACTCCCAGGACTGGAACGGAGACTTTCTAGTCGAATTGCCTGCCCAAGGCAGAAGTCCTTATACCAGGGGTAGGCCAACTTGGCTCTTTTATGACTCATGGACTTCAACTCCCAGAATTCCTGAGCCAGCTGGCTCAGGAATTCTGGGAGTTGAAGTCCATGAGTCATAAAAGAGCCAAGGTTGCCTACCCCTGCCTTATACTATCCTGGACAAATGGCTGTCCAATCTTTTAAACCTGGGAGTCTGTTTTCAAGGAACAATGACCCCCCCCCTCGCCACGATTCTCTCTTGATTCCTCTGAAAAACCTAAGTTACAATTTCCTTTTTCTTTGCAGCAGAGACCTCCCTGTCTTAATGAGTACAGGGACTGCTGTACGCTGGGTAGATACAGAGATTAGCCAGATGGCCAAGGTCTCCAATAAGTTTTGCATCCTGTTCGGAAGTACACCTCGTTCTGATCTGAAGCCTTATCTACCCCATCAATGTAAGTCGGGAGCTTTTTTCCCACGGCATATCGTTAGCCCGTGGAATTCATTACATGGGCGCATGAAGACGGCCAGGCCTTTGGGTGACTTCAAAGAGAGATCGGATACATTCACGGAGGACCCGGTCTACAACCTACAATTCCTTTAGTGACCGTTCAGAGTTAGGACGGCACTGAAAAAAGCAACTTGTGACTGTTTCTCAAGTTGTGGCATCCCACATGGTTGAAATTTAGCCACTTAAAAACTCATATTTATGTCCCCTCTAGTCCTCCTTTTCACTAGACTGGACAGACCCAATTCCTGCCATCGTTCGTCGTATGTTTTAGCCTCCGGTCTCCTAACTGTCTTCGTTGCTCTTTGCACTCTTTCTAGACTCTAGAGCCTCAACCTCTTTTTTTTTAATATCCTGGCAACCAAAGCTGGACGCCGTTTTATCCAAACCTGGATACAAGTAGCCCTTGACTTAACAACGGTTCATTTAGTGACCGTTTGAACTTAACAACAGCACTGAAAAATGTGACTTGGGACCGTTTTTC